AGAGATGTATACGATGGTATCTAAGGATGCTCCATTCCCTAAGGAGATGATGCTGACTTCAATCATCCCAATTCCTAAGACAAAGACCCTACAATAATTATTAATTTTAGTCCGATATCTCTAATCAATATCGATATTAAATTATTTTCATGTACCCTGGCTAATCGAAAGAAGTTATAGGAGACCTGATTGTTTGGGACCAGTCAGGATTTGTGAAAGGGAGAAGTACCTCTGATAACACACGTAGGATTTTTAATTTGTTATTTAGAATGAAAGAAAAGCAAATGGGATCTGTTATTATGGCTTTGGATGCTGAGAAGGCCTTTGACAGTCAGTTGGAGGTTCCTCGACTCTGTCATGGGCCAATTCGGACTAGTGGGCCTATTCAGAAATAAAACCTTGTCTTTATATAAGAAATCCTCGGCTAAAATTAGCAGCCTGGTTTTTGACTCTGATCCTTTTGATATTAAAATCGGTACCAGGCAGGGTTGCCCATTAGCTCCTCTTTTATATATTCTTATAATTGAACCCTTGGCCATAATGATACGACAGAATCCTAAGATAAAGGGGGTGGAGTTTAGAGAGGGGGATATTAAAACATCTTTAATCGCGGATGATGTTTTGCTTACCTTGGTTGATCCACTAATTTCAATTCCAGCTCTATTAGAAGATATCTCGATCTATAGTAACTACTCCAACTATAAAGTTAATATTAATAAGTCTCAAAGATACCCTTTCTTTTGACTAAGGCTCAGATGGATGGCTTGTCTTCTCGTTTTCACCTGGAATGGGCAAGAGATAAACTTGACTATTTGGGTATAGAAATATCCTTTGATATAGCTAATGTGACTCAAATGAATATCGACGAACTATTTTTAAAAATTACAACATCAGGTTACTAAGTGGAGGAAGTTAGAATCATCATGGATAGGAAGATTAAATATAACTAAGGCTTTTTTGATGCCAAAACTTCTCTATCTCTTTAGGATGATCCCATACAGAATTGAGCAGGGGACCCTTGGCCATTTCCAAAGCTTGTTTTCTAGTTTTATTTGGAGGGACAAACCACCTAGGATAGCGTTTGAAATTCTACGCAGGAGTTATCGAAAGGGGGGGCATTGCATTTCCAGATGTGGTTAAGATGTATGAAGCATGTAAGGCTTCTCAGCTTATGTTAGGGTTAAACTCTGATCAAAATACCTCCAATTCATGGATTAAAATTGAACAGGAGCTCGGCCTGGGATATAAGTTATATACCCTTGGGTGGCTAGGACTTTTGAATTTGGGGGCTCTTGAGGCGGAACAATACTCTAATAAAATATTAAGCAACATGGTAGTTACCTCCAACTACCTAAATAAAAAAAATTGAAACTGGAAGGCAAATTATTATGATACTTCATTATGCTATAACTGACTTAAATATTAATTCCTGGGTACATTTGGGAATAAGGAGGATTGCGGATTTATGTGAAGGATCTAAACCGGCACCATTTGCACAGTGACAATTGAAGTATAATCTTCCTACTAGAGATTTATAACAATATCTAAGGATTAAAAAATTTTTATTAACTAAATCGATAATTAAAGATCACCATATTACTCCCCACATTGTGTGTAGCCAAAAAAAGTGAGGAATCTCCAGATTCAATAAATTGTTCGATATAGTGGAAAGAGATTTACACATCTCCCCGTTTGGTAAATGGGAAAAGGATATTGGGAAGTCCTTTTCTCTAATAGAATGGACAAATGCTACCATGCTGGTAAAGCAATGTATACATAATGTTTCTCTCTTTGAAACCCATTTAAAGATAATTTACAGATGGTATCTGGTGCCGGGTAGATTGCATAAATCATCAGCACATCCAAAGGAATGTTGGAGATGTGGGACGGAGATTGGTACCATCTTTTATATATGGTGGGCATGTTCAGGGTTGAACAATATAAAGGTACTGTGACGGTACAATCCGTTACTCTGTCAAGCATCCCTTCTTCCCATAAAATAAAATCACCAAGTAATCCACAGAGTAATAAATCGCTGGTATCGTCGAATAATCCACACATGAGCCAAAGCTTAATGCTGGAACAAGACTTTACTGGAAGTAACAACAACAGGTATTCAAGCTACAGTTTCTTTTATGCCCTGCTCCCATGCAGGGGAGGGACACACATGTTATCTACAGTAGCCAATAAAACAGAGGTTACAGCCCACACAAAATCCTCCCCTCTGCCTGTGATTCAATTATCTTATACAATAGAAGATGCAATTATCACAGGCAGGAAAAACAGTTTTTACAGCATATTCATAACTTTTAAAATATACATTACATTCACATAAAAATTATATATTCACAATCAATCCATTCAGGGAAACAACATATCAAAAAATGGCATGAATCAGACCAGGGGTTCAGAAGTTAGTAAAGTATCTTTTGGGGCCTGGTTGGCAGCATGGCTATCTGGCCCAAACTGGTTTTACAGAGCCCTCTATCCTGGAGACAATGGGGAACATAATCCAATTATATCCAGGGATAGAGGCAGACTCCATTGAGCACATGTTCCCAGTAAAACACAAAATGATACAAAAATACATAACTCCTATCATACTGAATTGAACGGGCCAAATCTCCCAGGGTCCATAGTCACAGGGCAAGAGGCGGGCAAGCAGTCCTCTCCAGGCACAAGTGGCGAAGGGCACTTAGTCACAGTAATAAATCCATGAATAAAGTAGCAGGGAGGGAAAGTACCGAATGAATGGAGGGGGATTCTTTACAGGTACAAATGTTAGTTCTAATAAAAGTTATTTTTAAGGATGTTGAGGAAATTAGTCCCCAAATGTTTATCAATATATGACTTACAAGGCTGGATAGATACCTTATGACATATTTTTTGCAAAAAAAAATAATATAGCTAGGGCATGGAAATCCCCAAACATAAGCTGGAATCTAGCCCTATGTTCAATCCCCATACTAGAAATATTAAGGATTTATGGTTACCCCAGACTTCCAAATTCCCTATATAATTGTAAATAGCTAGGTTAAGGCTGCCCCCCACCGAATCTCATAAATTTTGAACTTGGTATTTTTTTTTTTTCATTCTCTTTTTGTCAATTGGATTGTGAAGATATATGGATGTGAACGCATATACTTAGTAATGTGATTATGTATTCAGTATTATATTGATATGTATGTATTTCACTTGTGATAACACCAAGGATAAAAAAATGGAAAATGTGTATAAATAATATAAATGTAAAAAAAAAAAAAAAAGTTGCCCTTGCATAGCATTTCTCAGCCCTGTGCACTATACAAGACTTTATGATGGAGAAGGCCAGCATCGCACACACAGACAGGGGTAGCAGTGACAGAGGTGGGTGGTAGAAGCACATACTAGCTGGATTAAGGTGATTCCTCTTCCAGGAAAAAGATAATAAAACAACATTATAAATAACTCCAAGGTAACAAAGTGACGTTCTGTGTAACCAGTGAAGTATAGGCTTATAGGAGAGATATTTTAATACATGTTTCTTTATGTGCAGGATTACATTGTTATGAAGAGATCTGACGATCCTACAATACAGAGAAGCAGTCCCTGTCTGTTAAGAGGATCCTGCAAGACCCAGAGCTCCAGCACGGTCTGTCCACCTCACTCACTGATACATGAGGGAACCAATGAGCAGAACATCCTGGAACTGACCAATCAGATCATCCACCTGCTGACTGGAGAGGTGAGGCTGCTGGGAATGGGACATTATAGAGTAAAACCAAGGAATGTGTCTGGATGGTGACTGGATGTTATTGGTGAATGTCTGTTATTTCTTGTAGGTTTGGAAGTATTTAAAAGGGCAAAAGGAAACTTACAAGGAAGTGATGATGGAGAGTCAGCACCCCCTCATCTCCTTGGGTGAGACAAAGTTTAATCGGCAATGTGTTTGGTTATAGAGCAGATATCATTAACTTATATCAATCAATCACCTGGTACACAGCGTGAGATCTGTACAGTTATTACAGCTGGAGGGACAAAATTATTTGGTTTATTATCTTTTATATGGATCACAGAGATGATGTTATACAAGTCGCATGTGGTGGCCACTGAATGTTTACAATTCCTGTCCTCCAGTTAGGCTGTTCTCTGAAGACACTGGGAATTCTGATGGATTTAGATAATAGTTCAGACATTGGGTATTCTTCCTGGACAGTGCTGCACATTTCAGGAAAGTTGAGGGCTACTGGACTAGAAGCCATTCTGGTTTATCCAGCATCGGCAAGTTCTACTGCGTGCTAGGTAGAAATTCACTTTGGAAATCAATGGAGACTTGCCACGGCAAAAGAGAAGTAGTACAATGATATTAATGGATTGCTTGTGGTTAAGAAATAGAGATCTTTCCAAAGTGAACCATTCTAACATGAGATTGTGACTTTAGCACCCTCTGATAAGAACTCTCCTTCTGATCATCTGCCCAGTGGCATTTATATAGTTGTCTAGGCTGAAAAAAATGACTAAAGTCCATCAAGTTCAACCCTGAAGCCCGTACTTTTATGCGCTTGATCCAAAAAAGGCAAAAAAAAAAGTGTATCCTTTTCCAGTTACGCCACAAAAGGTGAAAAATCCTTCCTGACTCTGTAATGGCCATTATAATTCTCCTTGGATCAACAATCTTCTTGCATGCCTTGGCCTAAATTATATCCTTGAATATTATGTTTATGCAAAAGAAGCATTCAAACATTTAAAACATTTTTTTTTTAAATCATCTATAGAATCTGATAACACAATCTCTTCAGGCTGAGAATTCCATATATTTATTGTTCTTACTGTAATGAACCCTTTCCTCTGCTGTAAGTGAAAATGCCTTTCAACCAGTCAATAAGTGACCTCTTGTCAGTATCTTTCTGCTAATTAACAGGTTAGCACATAGCAGTTTGTACTGACCCTGTATATATTTGTACAGTGCCATCATATTCCCTCTGAGGTGCCCTTTTCTAAAGAAAGCAAATCCAGTTTTTCTAGCCTTTCCTCAAAACTAATGTTTTCCATCCCCCTTACTAGTTTTGTAACTCACCTCTTGATTTGTAAAGAGGCAAAATGTTATTTGGATCATGTGGATAAAAAACATTTTTATGTATGAAAGCACCTTAGTAACTTATGCAATGGCAGACATGCATTACTAGTTTGTGATCTATAATGGTTCCCAAGTCCTTTTCATTTAATGTTATCCCTAACTCAACCGCATTTAATGTATAAGTGGCTTGGGGGTTCCTTATTCCAAAATGCATGCATATAAAGGTTTTCTCCAACCCTATATTTTTTCTTTGAATAATGTACTAATGACATTATGTTTTAAGTCCCTCCCCTACAAACCTACTTAAAGACACTCAGAGGACAAGAGGCACTGAGAAAGGGCTTTGCCCGAAACGTCTGTATAGATGCTTGTTCTTCAATTAAAGCTGTAGAACTTGTTGCACACACTTGTGGTTTTGCTTCCCTCCTTTTTTCTAAATTATGTTTGCATATTCCTAAAGTAGGCTGGCCTTAAGGAAACCATAGAATGGCCTACACACTGCCCCTAGTGGTGCCTCTAAAGCATTAACCTCATTATGCTTTATTTTATGTTATAAATCATTATTTTAATATCATTACAAACCACCCTTTCACTTATGTCATAAAAACAAGCATTTATAAAGATCTTGTATCTTTTCCATTTTAACACTACCTACCCTGCAAGAAAACCCACCTTTTGAAGGATGATATCCATTTCTCCATAAAGTTATGACACTTTATTGCTCATTCAAAAGTTCACAATTGAGCACATGCATTACCATTTGGGAAACCTTGGCCTAAAATAGGCACATACCCACCCTTATTATAATCATTAGGCACATGCATTACCATTTGGGAAACCTTGGTCTAAAATAGGCACATCCCCACCCTTATTATAATCATTAGGCACATGCATTACCATTTGGGAAACCTTGGCCTAAAATAGGCACATCCCCACCCTTATTATAATCATTAGGCACATGCATCACCATTTGGGAAACCTTGGCCTAAAATAGGCACATACCCACCCTTATTATAATCATTAGGCACATGCATTACCATTTGGGAAACCTTGGCCTAAAATAGGCACATACCCACCCTTATTATAATCATTAGGCACATGCATCACCATTTGGGAAACCTTGGCCTAAAATAGGCACATACCCACCCTTATTATAATCATTAGGCACATGCATTACCATTTGGGAAACCTTGGTCTAAAATAGGCACATACCCACCCTTATTATAACCATTAGGCACATGCATTACCATTTGGGAAACCTTGGTCTAAAATAGGCACATCCCCACCCTTATTATAATCATTAGGCACATGCATTACCATTTGGGAAAATAGGCACATTTATTATAATCATTAGCACATGCATCACCATTTGGGAAACCTTTTACCTAAAATAGGCACATACCCACCCCTTATTATAATCATTAGGCACATGCATTACCATTTGGGAAACCTTGGCCTAAAAATAGGCACACATACCCACCCTCTTATTATAATCATTAGCACATGCATCACCATTTCTGGGAAACTTTGGCCTAAAATAGGCACATACCCACCCCTTATTATAATCATTAGGCACATGCATCACCATTTGGGAAACTTTGGCCTAAAATAGGCACATCCCCACCCTTATTATAATCATTAGGCACATGCATTACCATTTGGGAAACCTTTGCCTTAAATAGGCACATACCCACCCTTATTATAATCATTAGGCACATGCATCACCATTTGGGAAACCTTTGCCTTAAATAGGCACATACCCACCCTTATTATAATCATTAGGCACATGCATCACCATTTGGGAAACCTTGGTCTAAAATAGGCACATCCCCACCCTTATTATAATCATTAGGCACATGCATTACCATTTGGGAAACCTTGGCCTAAAATAGGCACATACCCACCCTTATTATAACCATTAGGCACATGCATCACCATTTGGGAAACCTTGGCCTAAAATAGGCACATACCCACCCTTATTATAATCATTAGGCACATGCATCACCATTTGGGAAACCTTGGTCTAAAATAGGCACATACCCACCCTTATTATAATCATTAGGCACATGCATCACCATTTGGGAAACCTTGGTCTAAAATAGGCACATCCCCACCCTTATTATAATCATTAGGCACATGCATTACCATTTGGGAAACCTTGGCCTAAAATAGGCACATACCCACCCTTATTATAATCATTAGGCACATGCATTACCATTTGGGAAACCTTGGCCTAAAATAGGCACATCCCCACCCTTATTATAATCATTAGGCACATGCATCACCATTTGGGAAACCTTGGCCTAAAATAGGCACATACCCACCCTTATTATAATCATTAGGCACATGCATCACCATTTGGGAAACCTTGGCCTAAAATAGGCACATACCCACCCTTATTATAACCATTAGGCACATGCATCACCATTTGGGAAACCTTGGCCTAAAATAGGCACATACCCACCCTTATTATAATCATTAGGCACATGCATTACCATTTGGGAAACCTTGGCCTAAAATAGGCACATACCCACCCTTATTATAATCATTAGGCACATGCATTACCATTTGGGAAACCTTGGCCTAAAATAGGCACATCCCCACCCTTATTATAATCATTAGGCACATGCATCACCATTTGGGAAACCTTGGCCTAAAATAGGCACATACCCACCCTTATTATAATCATTAGGCACATGCATTACCATTTGGGAAACCTTGGCCTAAAATAGGCACATACCCACCCTTATTATAATCATTAGGCACATGCATCACCATTTGGGAAACCTTGGTCTAAAATAGGCACATACCCACCCTTATTATAACCATTAGACACATGCATCACCATTTGGGAAACCTTGGCCTAAAATAGGCACATACCCACCCTTATTATAATAATTAGGCACATGCATTACCATTTGGGAAACCTTGGTCTAAAATAGGCACATCCCCACCCTTATTATAACCATTAGGCACATGCATCACCATTTGGGAAACCTTGGCCTAAAATAGGCACATACCCACCCTTATTATAATCATTAGGCACATGCATTACCATTTGGGAAACCTTGGCCTAAAATAGGCACATACCCACCCTTATTATAATCATTAGGCACATGCATCACCATTTGGGAAACCTTGGCCTAAAATAGGCACATACCCACCCTTATTATAATCATTAGGCACATGCATCACCATTTGGGAAACCTTGGCCTAAAATAGGCACATACCCACCCTTATTATAATCATTAGGCACATGCATTACCATTTGGGAAACCTTGGCCTAAAATAGGCACATACCCACCCTTATTATAATCATTAGGCACATGCATCACCATTTGGGAAACCTTGGCCTAAAATAGGCACATACCCACCCTTATTATAATCATTAGGCACATGCATCACCATTTGGGAAACCTTGGCCTAAAATAGGCACATCCCCACCCTTATTATAATCATTAGGCACATGCATTACCATTTGGGAAACCTTGGCCTAAAATAGGCACATACCCACCCTTATTATAATCATTAGGCACATGCATTACCATTTGGGAAACCTTGGCCTAAAATAGGCACATCCCCACCCTTATTATAATCATTAGGCACATGCATCACCATTTGGGAAACCTTGGCCTAAAATAGGCACATACCCACCCTTATTATAACCATTAGGCACATGCATCACCATTTGGGAAACCTTGGCCTAAAATAGGCACATACCCACCCTTATTATAATCATTAGGCACATGCATTACCATTTGGGAAACCTTTTGCCTAAAAATAGGCACATACCCACCCTTATTATAATCATAGGCACATGCATCACCATTTGGGGAAACCTTGGCCTAAAATAGGCACATCCCCACCCTTATTATAATCATTAGGCACATGCATTGGCCATTTGGGAAACCTTGGCCTAAAATAGGCACATCCCCACCCTTATTATAACTCATAGGGCACATGCATTACCATTTGGGAAACCTTGGCCTAAAAATAGGCACATCCCCACCCTTATTATAGTAATCATTAGGCACATGCATCACCATTTGGGAAACCTTGGCCTAAAATAGGCACATACCCACCCTCTTATTATAATCCTCATTAGGCACATGCATCACCATTTGGGAAACCTTGGTCAAAAATAATAGGCACATACCCACCCTTATTATAATCTCATAGTACATGTATCACCATTTGGGAAACTTTGGCCTAAAATAGGCACATACCCACCCTTATTATAATCATTAGGCACATGCATCACCATTTGGGAAACTTTGGCCTAAAATAGGCACATACCCACCCTTATTATAATCATTAGGCACATGCATCACCATTTGGGAAACCTTGGCCTAAAATAGGCACATACCCACCCTTATTATAATCATTAGGCACATGCATTACCATTTGGGAAACCTTGGCCTAAAATAGGCACATACCCACCCTTATTATAATCATTAGGCACATGCATCACCATTTGGGAAACTTTGGCCTAAAATAGGCACATACCCACCCTTATTATAATCATTAGGCACATGCATTACCATTTGGGAAACCTTGGCCTAAAATAGGCACATCCCCACCCTTATTATAATCATTAGGCACATGCATCACCATTTGGGAAACCTTGGCCTAAAATAGGCACATACCCACCCTTATTATAATCATTAGGCACATGCATTACCATTTGGGAAACCTTGGTCTAAAATAGGCACATCCCCACCCTTATTCTAATCATTAGGCACATGCATTACCATTTGGGAAACCTTGGTCTAAAATAGGCACATACCCACCCTTATTATAACCATTAGGCACATGCATCACCATTTGGGAAACTTTGGCCTAAAATAGGCACATACCCACCCTTATTATAATCATTAGGCACATGCATCACCATTTGGGAAACCTTGGCCTAAAATAGGCACATACCCACCCTTAGTATAATCATTAGGCACATGCATCACCATTTGGGAA